AAAACCCTTCTCTCCGTGTCAGTGGTAATGCAGCATGTGCTCGGTGGCCTTTCATCACAGAAAAATCTCTTTCACTCTGTCTCTGGTCACAATGCTCCGATAGTGGATTTTCACTCATTTTGAGTCAGCAATGAGATGTTTACATGAAAATCAGTACTTCCTTTGAGTGTTTTGTTTTTATTTTGGCTAATGTATTCTTAGATTTTAAAAAAGCAAACACAAAACTTGAACTTTCAGGTGCTTAGTTCATGTAAAACTTACCTTAGCAGTCATTTTTTATGTTGAAAAACCCCAAAATATACTTTAAAAACATTTATATGTCCCAAACTGAACTTTTTTTTTCTAAGAAGCATGGATTTGTATCTTTTCCCCAATTATATGAGTAAATGTGACCTTGCACTTAGTGCTTGCTTTTTCTGCAATAGACCCTTTGATAGTGCCTGCTTTGGACAGCTTCTTTATTAAATCACAGACATTAGCTAGCTCTATGAAAGATGAACAGGGCAAAGAAGCAACAGCCTCTAATCCTTCCCAAAATAATTCAATCCCTGGAATGCCCTTCTTGCTATTCAGTAGATGCCTGCGTTCATTCACTGAGGTACAAGTAGGAAGGGAAGAATGCTTCGTCCCTAGCTTTTCCATGATCATAGCAGCCAAATGGCCATCACAGTCAAGTTCCTCTATGTGCTCTGCATTTTGAGAGCCTGGAATTAGAATTTCTGTCAGCAAATTCAATGGTATCCCATGCCTCCACCTCTGAGATGGCATTAAACAAAAGATAATTTCTTATATTGGTTTGTTAGGGCCGCAGTATCAAAATATCAGGCTGGGTAGCTTAAACAAATTTATATTTTCAAAATTGTAGAGACTAGACATCTAAGGGAAAGAGATTGGGAGGTTCGGTTTCTTCTGAGGTGTCTCTTTTTGGCTTGCAGGTGGCTGCCTTCTCACTGTGTTCTCACATAGTCTTTCCTTTGTGTGAGCACATTCCTAGTGGATGCCTATGTCCAAATTTCTTCTTATAAGTACACCATTCAAACTGGATTAAGGCCTCACCTTAACAGTCTTATTTTAACTTAACCACCTCTTTAAAAGGTCCTATCTCCAAATACAGCTATAATCTGAGATACTAGCAATTAGGACTTCAAGATAAGATTTGGGTGGGAGGGACATAATTCAGCACCGTAATAGCTCTGAAGAATCAATGAATGGACTCTTCTCCAAACCACCACATTAGTGATTCTGTTCCTATTTTAGCCATAATTTAAATATTATTTTCCAAAAAATCAGTAATTAAAATATAAATATTCAAGTAGAAAGTACATAGATTTCATGTGTGAAAATGGTTAATGAAGTCAAGTTTTTGACGCCTTGATGACTTAAAAATAAAAATTTGTATTCTTATCTAAAATAAACCACTATAGCAAAAACAATAACATGACTTAGAGTGCTAGTATCTTTCTTAGTGTCTCTTTGATTGCCCAACATGGGCCATTTCTAATGCCATGCTAAATATTAAAAATTATGCTGTGGGGAGCAGTAATATAACAGCAGTAAAGTGATTAAAAACAAATCTTCCTGGATGAAATACTTTCATTACTAAAATGAAGATTATATTCACTTTACTCTCTTGAGAAGATTTTCTTCTAAGAAGGCAGGAAACCTCATAGGCATTAAGCATTGTACAATTTCTGTATACCAAATAGGAGATCAATGCATAAATATTTCTAACACCTTTAATCAAAACAGCAGTTTGAAAATTCAGTGAATAAAATGTGAATGCTCAGTCTAACTAGGTCATAACAGATTTCAAAAGAATAATAATAATAATACAGTGAACTTCACTCTTTTTAATATTTATTGATACTAAAGATGAAGTATTATCAGGGCTTCAAAAATTCTATAATGTATACCTCTCATAAAATACATACATATGTAAAATAAAATGTGCATATTTCCCTCCAGCTGCTTATTAAGGTTTTGAACCTCAAGAATGATAACTATAATGTAAAACTAATATATCTGTAGTTTGTTTGTATAGTTACTGTATGGAAATGGAGTAAGCCAGAAAGAGATAAGCTCAGAAAATATTTTGAGTTTAGAATATGTTTTATTACATTCTTTAATCTGATGAATATAGTAATCATCATACTAGCTAGATTGTCCAGTCAGAAGATAGAAATAACTGCTGTGGTTTTTCCCAGCTTCCTGCTAAACAGTTATGAAGATGCTGGAAAAATCCTCTAGTAACACTGAAATCTAAGACTGGTTGAAAACTTATCTCAAGAACCTAAAAGCACCTTAAATAATGCTCAAGTGAGAAAAATAAAATAAAGGCCATACTTTTGCTCTTGGATAGATCATGAATGGACAAACATGTCAATTATCCCTAAAGTATAAATGTAGGGTCCTCCCATTAGGAGTACTATTTGCTACCTCCTGGAGTAACTATTCATTCCAAATTTAGAAAAATTCTTTTAAAAAATGAGCTGGAGGAGAAAGCAGTTAGTCCTACTAGAAACTAAAGCACCTATAATTAAAACAATGTGGTACTTTCACATGAAGAGAAAGAAAGGTCAAAGAAATCTAGGGAATCCAGAAAAAGACCAAAATATGTATGGGAATGCCATGAAGACAGCATTTCAAAACTTCTAACTTTTAAATAAGTGGTTTTTGGATAAGTAGCCCCATATAGAAAATTCATAACATTGAATACATTCTTCATTCCATATATATGGATAAATTATATATCGATTGAATATTTAACTATAAAAATGAAAACAGATAGGTATTAGAAGAAAACATGAGTAGATTCTTTATATGATAGAAGCGAAGACAGCTTTCCTGTCTCTACTCAAAGTGTCACACAGGACAGTGGGAAAAATCACAGGAAATAAAACTCATTGGTGAGGCACAAAATGAATTTGATAAATTCTCAAAGTTTTTTTCATTGTTAAATTTCAGCGATTTCTTGTAAGTTAATAACAGCACAGTGACTCTTACTATTTAAACAAATAGCAAGAGTTTAAGAAACTTATTTTGAATTCACTAGTGATTAGTTTTTTCCAGTCTGGTAAATAGTTACAGCCACAAATAGGCTACTAGATTGTTAATTAAATGGGCTTATGTGTCATAGCATGATCTTTCCATACTTTCAATTCAAACGTTATAAGAAAGCATGGTGTTAACAATGAATTTCCCTTTTGTGTGTTTGTCTTGACTCCTTACGCCATCCAAATGTCTAGGTTTATTTTTAGTCATAACATAATCTAATTTTAGTGATAATATAATTCTGTAAGGGCAAATGATCATTTCTAAACTTAATTTTCTTGTGGATGCATGATTGTTTAGTTGACTCAGCTCTTGCTATTTTTATTCTATTCTAGCTCATGCTATTTTAATTCATTTAAATCAATGATTCACTAAAAATATAGAGCTCATAAAGACAAAGTTGAAAATAGCACATTGTTTAGATAGCTTAGCAAATAATACAATCTTTCATTGAGACTTTGGGCAAGTTAACCAGATTGTCTCAGTTTCTCCATCTCTGAAAGAAGAGACATAATAGTATTTAATTTATGGTGATTTTCTGAGAATGAAATGAGATATTGTGTGAAAAATGCTTAGCACGGAGCCTGGCATATAGTCACTAGTCAATAAATACTAACTCATAATCATATTAATGAATTGTTATTAACTATAATATTAAACTGTAGAACATATTCATTTCCCGAAGGACTAAAATTTGAAAATTCACAAGAATTTTGAGTGGGATTGTTTTGTAGAGGGACAGTGTTTCATTGCCTTTCTTGATGTTCTTAATAGTTAAGAGCAGTATCTTCATCTGAGACAAAATAGCTGTGAATATCATTGATCTCACAACAAAGAATTTTTTTAAAACAATATAGTCAATATCCCTTATTCTCTTGTAAAGAAGTAGTGCTACTCTTCACAATAAAGAAAGACACCCACTGTTGTAACCCTCACTGTTACAAATGGCCAGAAGCTCACCACTCTTCCAGCCTCTTAATACTTGTCCAACAGGTAGGGTTGTTTTCAAAGTATAGTCCCACGACCATGTGCTTCTGTATTCCATGAGCTGCCACTTCAACATGCAGCTTCCTGGGCCAAAGGCCAGACAATAAATCAGGATTTCTACATGCCGGGCTCAGCAAGCTCCACGTCTAACAAGTTTCACAGGTGGTTCTTATGCAAAGTAAAGCTAGAAAAATTCTCATTCATTAGAATACAAGAAAATGCTGTCAGTTTTTCTGTCTTCCGGTTTTTATAACCTAGGGCAGATGCCACTTTCTTTCACAAGTGAGCTTTGGCTTCTTTGGTGGCATCAATTAAATGAACGAACAGTTTACTGGTAGCAATTTGGGGGCTACAGGGAGAATCTTGGACTGTTATGGTCTAGGAAAAAAATACACAACGAGTTAAAGAGTCAAAAATTGCTATGCTTTGTCCTTTGCAAAATGGAGTAAGACTTGAAAACACTGTACTCATGGGTTTTATGGTTCTTTTATCACTCAGGGAAACCCAAGGCATCACTTTTGACGCATCCCCAGCCCTCCAGCCTCTTCAGAAGAACCTTCTTGCCTGGGGATAAAATGTATTTTTTTATCGATTAATTTGGTAGAGAGAGAGAGACATCGATTTGTTGCTCCACATATTTCTGCATCATTGGCTGCTTCTTGTATGTGCCCTGACCAGGGATCAAACCCCCAACCTTGGCATAGCAGGACAACTCTCTAACCAACTGAGCTACCCAGCCAGGGCCTAAAATATATTTTTCAATAGGACTGATGACATTTGAGGAAAATTAGTGAAGGCAGTAAAGTGTACTTATAATTTTGCATAATGTATTTTTGTTGTAGTTCAGAAGTGCTCTTGAAAAATTGATTATCAGTAAAGGAATTCGGAGATGACTTTCTGCTCTGAAAATTATATTCTGAACATTTTTACCACATTAAAAATGATTTTCGTGTGTTTTACAGGAATTGAATTACCTCATAGAGGGATTATTCCTATCCCAGTGTGTTTTGTTCCCAAAGTTATGAAATTAAGGAAAACAATGGTAGTTATTCAAATGAGGCGAACAGATGGACAAAATTGGCCTATTGACAATTTTGATGAATTGAGCGCGGAGATGAAAAGGTAACATTCAAATAAGAATATTGATTTCATTTTTTCTGGTACTGATATGATTAGTTTCTTTTATATGTTATGCCATGTAAAGTTCATGATTTTATATTCTCTGACGTGTTGAGATTTATATGTTCTGAAGAGGAAAATGTATTTGTTAAATGGGTATAGTATATATCATTACTGATGTGATGTTCAGAGTGATGAACACGTCATTCTCGAGAACCGTATCAATGAATCAGGGTCAGAGACATGCAGAGGCCTCCTTTTCGACTGAGAAAATAGTTAGTGCTAAGACAATAAATAATCCATATCTAGAGAACCGCCTAAAACAAGTTGTTTGGGCAAAGTATAAGACTTGTGAAACTGGCATTCACCAGGTGACGGCACAGTTCCAGGGGGTATGGCCTCCTGGTGAGCCTCTGCCATGACTAAGGGACCCTGTTCCATTGCCAGAATGCAGGTGACTTGCACCCTCTTTGCTTCGCTGCAATTGAAGCAAACTCCAGTAATGACAGGAAATTTAAATGTTTTCTCTGCTCTTATAGTTTAATTAAGTAATGGTCTAGAGATCTTCAAAAGAAATTCTTACTTTGCCCTACGTGTTCATATTTTTTCTCCACGTTTGAAAGAAAAATCTTTCCTTCGGGCACGTTCTGCCATGGTTTTCATCACTCGTGCAGTCGAGACTGCCTGCATGATTTGTGAGTCCCAGTGTAAAAATGAAAACGAGGGAGCCCTTGTTCAAAAATTATTAATAAGTTTAAGATGGGTACGGGAGTGCATTAAACAAGCATGGGGCAGTTCTGAGTGAGCAGTATTTGTGCTGTTGTTCAGGTCACACGCCCATGAAGCCGGTCCTGCCTGACTTGACTTAACGTTTCATTTTTAACAAGAAAAGCTCATTTTCAACAGTTATCAGGACCATATTTTTACTACTGCTGTCCTCCTGAAGGTGTATAATACACTTAAAATATTTTGAGAAATGCCCTTTATTTTAACTGGTATCCTCAAAAGTAAATTTCTCACCGCACTTTCTGAAGTCCTGTACTTAATGGCATTTTTGTGTGTGTGCTTTGCTTGTCCAATTTAGAATATAACCCATGGGAACTGTATTACCTCTGATTAATCACAATTTAGTCACTTCAATAAAAACCAATACCAAGCTTTAAATGTAGGGGCAAATATTCTTCAAGTTTACCTTACATCTCATAGTGGTTGTATTCCAGTTTTATTTGTGATCATTTCCCAGGGCTTGCTTTAAAATGTTTATAAAGTCAACATTTGCCAAAAATGTTTTGTATTTCATACTTAGTTTCTCTCTGCCAAAGTTTAAATTCACAAGCTTTGCTCAAATGCCATTAGGTTAATAGAGAACATGCTCTTTTATGCTAATATTGAAAGCGCTTATGTTTCACTCTTCATTTAATTTCTCATTAGAACTATGGGAGTAGACAGTGGAGAAATCCGCGCAATACGATGGATATACCCTATTCTTGGACTTCCACAGGCAAAACATGATGAATTCCCTCCAGGTAGGTACATTTTAGTGTCAGAAAACACTAGGATTTGGAGGTAATTTAGAGGCACTACCATCCCGTTTTCTCTTTGTTCAGGTAAGAAGGTGGAGGCCCAGGGAAAGGAAGCTGTGTAGTAACCAGCCCTATTGGTGGGGGTGCTAGGACTGAATCTGGTCTTCTAACAATGAGTCCAATGACCTTTCCACAAAACCACACCATTTCCTGGCGCTCTTCCTGCTGGTGAAACCTAGAAATCAGCTAAGATGAAAATAACATTAACTTCAGGCCCCTTTATCTCACATTCTGTGAGGCACTCAAAGCCCTGCACTGGATCTGTGAGTCAGTCCCAGGCACTTTGGTTCTCCCACCACATTTAATCAGCACATTCCAGCTTCTGTGTAATTCTAACCCTCATCCAAGAACCATCCTAGTCCCCTGTTCTTAGTTGTCCCAGACACAAACTTTCATGATTTTCTCCAAAAACTAGTCAGAATGTACTAAAGTTCCCAAGGAGGTTAACTTTGCTGTTCTACACACAACATAACATCTCTACTCTGAAAATATCTTTCTTTTTCTCAATGACCCTTTTTTTCCTCTCTGTGCTCCAGACTTTCTCAAGTTTCTGTTCATTCTCTTTCCTCAGTGTTCTCACTTTTCCCACATTCCTTGCTTTTCCTTTTTGCTTCTAAAGATCTGCCTAAGAAATCAGTGCCTCTTAGGCAGGCATAAAGTGAAGTTTAGGCTCTTACTAGGCTCTAGGCATAGTTCTTCATAATTAAGAAACACTGAATTGCTCTGCCCAGGAAAGGGATACTTATTTTGGATCTCCGCCTTGAGCAACTCAGATGAGCCAAAAAAAGTCTTGAAATTTTTAATTTTCCATCACCCTCCAATACCAATCTTTACTAGTGAAAGAGAATTAGTCCTTTACTGACATAAATTATGTCACCACACTTAGAAAGAAAACTAAAAAAAAGCTTTGCTTATGAATAAAAGCATTTCCCTTAATGCACTCCTTATGTAGTTTCATTTTAACTGGAATAAAAACCCACGTATCTAGCATTACCTTTGACAATAAATGTCATTTGTTTTACTTGAAGTGCTTTTACTTTTGAGTTAAAATTTTTTCAACACATATAAGTATTTCAAATATACCAAATTATCTTCAAAATGCTTGACAAACATGTCAGAATGTTTATTTCTTTCTAGAAGATAGCTGTCTGTATACTTCCCATGGAGCTGAACAATTTAAAATTTGTAGTACAGTCATCTGATCAACATGATGCAATAAAGCCTGTAAATTACTGTTAGAATTCTAACAGTGTTGTTTGTGTCTATGCAGACACAGTTTTGTTTTAACAAGATTAAAGATTTAAAGTTTTTTTTTCTTTAAAAAAAAAAAAAATATTTTTTAATTTTAG